GGAGAAAGGACAATGAAAATGACAAGGAAAGAAGGAAAATGAAGAGCTTCTCCCAGTGCACAACGCTTTGAGAAGGCTATTGCCTCAAGTCGCTCACAAGCTGCTGTCACACCATGTGCAGAAAGGTGCACATCTGCATGCCCTGGGCAAAGGCACCTCAGAGATCTCCCTACCTCAAGCTGATCTTTAAGAGTTGTGAACAGTTGGAGTCCCAGCACCTCTGTCGACTCCTTGCATAAACTTCATTCCCCAGCTTTAAGCGGAAAAAATATTTTCACTTAGCACTGCATGGATCATCCATGGGAGACATGAATACAGTAGGGAACCACCTGCATGCACTGGTGGTATTTCTCCTTTCCAAGCACTGGCATGAATGACATTTGACTGTTAGGGAGTGAAAAAAGAAATAGGGAATATAAGGGAGGTATGATAAAAGATAAATGCTGGAATGCGTAAGCAGATGGCGTCAAGTTTAAGCAGAGGAGGTACAAGCTCCTGGCACGGAGTTATAAATTTCAAGAAGCTGTCTTAGTTTATGCCAGGGACATTTATAGGAGAACACACAGGCCAGGTCCCCTGCCATCAGCTTGTCTTGCAGCTTATCAACTAAGCAAAGACTTCATATAGCCTTTTAACTTCACGTAACTTCCTATTTTGGGATAATTTAGGGTGCTTATGGACACTTTGAAAATCAGTAGTGCAGATGGAGCTTACTAGCTGAAGCCAATGTAAGCCATATTTCTGTTTTCAAACAGCCATTCCTCGCTTCAGGTTGTTAGAACTGCCAATTTAAGTGGCATTTTCTACATGTGCTGACGTAGATGCAGATACAGTGCTCATATTGCATAGTTCAAAGAATAAAAACACCTCAACTGAATATGATCTGAGTTTCAGACTGCACAGAAACAAAAAGATGAAGCTACACAGTGACTGAGTTTTGTGGAAAGGCTTTTATGGACACAAATGTTTGCAATTAAAAAATTCAGAGAAAACAGATTTTGTTTGGATGTAAACATTCTCCTGCTACCCTGGAAATACTAACGCAGCAACACTGCAATGAAACACTGGGGAGAAGAAAGTGTTCTGTAAAGTAAAGAGCGAGCAACAACCACCAAAAAAGGTAAAAGTACTTCTTGAATTATTTCAAGTTTGTAATTATGTAAGATACTGTAAACATGTTCCTGCTTTTTAAATCTCGCCTGCCACTTAGCTGATTGCCCAGCAAACTGCCAGACTGCAAAGACACCAACTGGTTTTGACAAGAATTCCCAAGGGGGAAAATCCCCCAAAACAAAACAAAACCCAAATAAATTGAAAAAAAGCACTACCTCCAGGTAACATGACTAAAAATTATGTGGTGTAGTGGGCTGGACTAATGCACACTGAACTTGTGATTAGGTAAAAGTCTAGCCCAAGTGCCAAAACAAGAGGGGAAAAGTAAGATCTCTAGCTTTTATAATGAATCCAGATGGGTTTTCAGGGACATAATCTCTTTGTAGGAAGAACTGCCAAAAGCACTCCCAGAGATACAATCAATTCTTACAGTCCCTGTTAAGCATACGACCTAAAAAAATCAGTTTGATAACTTCACTAGGCAACATTTCCACAAACATCTAGTCTGTTAGCACTGACTCACATCCCTCCCCACAATGGTTACAAGAGTCTCTGGGGTTTTGGTTTTGATTTTATCACAGGGGTGGATAGAAAGACCTGCTGACAGTGCTACTGGCTTCTCAGAAATACACGAGCCTGCAGGCAACCAGGGAGTCTCCTGAGTGCACTCCATCCAGCCACACGTAGATATACTGGGCTTCTTCATGTTTGTCCATACCAACTTGGCAGGACTACCTACACAGGGGTGAAAGGCTCTGTACATACAGGCAGTCCAGTCAGATGCTGCTTGATCCCATGGCTGGCCCTCATGACACGCTTGCTGTGTTCACAAGACTTTTATGAAGAAGAAAACAAGTTGGTGAGATTATGAGATAAAGAGGATGGAAAATCAACATTTAAGTTTAAATTGGAAGTCACATCAAGTAACTGACAAGACCTCATTAGAGCTCAGAAGTAACAATTTTGCTCAACTGCAGTTGGCTTTTTTGCTAAATTTGCAAAAGGCTACCCACACGCAACTTGTTCTGCTGTCGTCTTACCTTTAAAGATACATCATTACACTAGTAAGGCCAGAAGAGTACTAACATGGCCTCATTGTTTTCACATGCTCCCAACAACAAAACTAACTGCTGCACAGCTGGAACTTAGAAATCCCATTTATTTGACTCTACTTCTGCTGAAGCTTAACTCCCCAGCCAGTATTTTAGTCTCATTCCTAAACTGCAACACATTTTGTGCTGTCAGTCACAATGTGCTGGTTTTAACTTGTTCTTTGTAATAACAATGCATACCAACACAGCACACAAAAAAGCACATGGGGGGGAAGACTGGAACAGGGGGGATGGGGGTGGGACGGGACCATCCTATCTTGCTAGAAATCCCTAAAAATAAACTTACCTGAAATTACTCCCCAGGAACACATGCTACTTAATCTTAGTCACCTGACAAAAACTGTTTTTCCATAAGATGCTGGTCCTCCAAGCATATTTTACAAGTATTCACAACTGGAAATTCCATCAGTCTTGGTGGAAATCCTTGCTGCAACTTTGCTGCAGCTAATAGGACTTACAGAAACAGTATAAAAGAAAAATAAAATTCCTGCATACCAGAGATTTCCATTGCAGATCAGAGTTACTGAAAGAGTAATACAACCATGGTTCATTTCAACTCTAAGACTCTCATCAACAGCGTGCTCTATTTTCACATTACCACTTAGTTAAAGGGTTATCCTTCATGTTTGCTTTCAGAGAGCAGGCATCTTCAGTATCTCCATGCTGCCTGCCATGCCACATGTAAATGACAAAAAGTTTAGCTTATAATCAATGAAATAAATCTACTCATAAACCAGAGATGAACAGAAGATATGCATTTCACCATCCTTTTAAGGCACACACTGACTCAACAAGGACAAGGCAACACCAGGAGCTGTACAGGTAAGTCAGCTGGCATCAATGACTTGCAAACCCATGCAGGACTAACTGCTGGAATTTGAAGAAACCCATTAAAGTCCAACACTTTTAATAAGAAACTAGCAACGAAATTTCATGCATTAGCTTACAGCACAGTGATGAGAAGGAAAGTACATGTGCAACAATAAGCCCCAAAGGATGCACAAGTACCACAGTGAAACTACTGGGTGGCCCCAAGACAGCAACAAAGACAAGTTTATGAAGAAGAAAAAAGAAAGGAGGCATGTGGGGAGGGGGAGTGACGACACCCACATGTCATAAAGACACCACTGCTAGTAATTTGAAAGGAAAGTTTCATTATGAAAACAGACAGCAATTTTTAGGCAGTCACTGACATTAGAGTGCAAGGCAGACCCCCGGCAATTGTCTACAGCAGGTCCAGAAGACAGGGTGGTCCAACCCTGCACCAGTAGCAACCAGGAAACTGGGAGGTGACCAGAGTGCCAGGAAGGGCACCAGACTGAAGGCTGGAGAGAGTAACAAACCCAACAAATTCTTGGCAGAAGGACTTAGCAGAAAACACTAGGAAGTGTTTCAGACTCCAGCTGGGTATGCTGCTCCCAAATTGGACAACAAAACTGCTACTGCTTCGCTGCTCTGAGTCAGTAGGTTAAGACCCATGCTTGTGCAATTCACCAGTAGGACTGAGGAAACCAACATCTGCTCATCCTTCCTCATTCCACACCTCCCTCTCCCCAAATCCTGCTACTATTCCAGCACTTCCTCAAGAAGAGATGCCTGCAGTGGTCCATGTGTAGCAATGATGGTGAAGAAACAGCAAGGACTGGTGACTAACAGCAGTTCTGATTTCTGAAGAAAACAGGACAAAGGAAGACTGTCATGAGTGATCTGGTTGTTGAGCTTAAGCCTCTTCTCAAAAATGAAAGGTTTTGTAACTTGTAATTCCACGTGTAAAAGTACTCTATGTTCTACTGTACTGAAGGCGGGTATCTCAGCATTCACTGGATCAGAGTCCCAGTCTGGAGGCCATGAAAGTACTTGTACTCCAGTACAGCAGCTATTTCACTTTCAGACAGATCAAGGCCTGATTGATACCTTGTTGTGAAGGCAGTTGTCTTCACAACCGTCAAAGATGAATAAGCTACAGTTGCAACATTATCAAGCACTTCTGCAAAATACAGAAAGCAAATTTCAAAGGCTGATTTTCTGCCGATAGTTAAGATTTGGTTGTGCTTTAACAACTGAAACCCAGAAATTTTGCAAAAGGTCAGGTGACTGGAAAAAGCATTTACAAAAGGGGAAGTGGCAGTGTAAGAACGAGGAAGGGGAAAAAAGGCCGAGATTAAAAATTGTATTTATATATAAAAATTTATTTAGGTGATGTCACAAACAGTTTAATTATCAATTTACAAACACTTCGTGTTATGCATATTATTGAAACTATCAAGAAAGGAAAAAGAGAGCAGGTAACGGCAGCTTTTTCCTGAAACAACTAAAGGTATACCCTTACCATCATGCGCATTACTGGATCATAGTATTACCTTCATCATACTCCCTAGTATGCAAGGGAAAAGCAAAACAAAATACTGAGATGTAGAATGATTAAACTGTGAACCAGCGAACATGGTTTTCATGAACATCAGACTACAAAAGTCTAGTCTGATGCTCAGGATCTTTAAGCGTTCTGTGAGGATAAAAACAGAGAATAATTTATTCTAAATTATTCTATTTGACCAAGAATTTTGTAATGAACAATTGAGATAGATAGAACTGATTTCTGGCAATGACAGCAATGGTTAATGCATTTTTCCGAGAAGAATGGAGAGGCAATACCGAGCCCCACAGGATAGTTCTGTTGATAACCTGAGTTATTTTACCAAGTGTATGATACTGCTTCAAGTCAAATATACATTTATGTTGCATATATTCTCAATGAAATGGTAAAAGTAACAGCTGTAACAAGACAAGTTATGATTTATTACTTTTTTTTAACAAATATAGTACATAGGTTTTTGAAGTGTCCGGTTGTGATCTGCAAAGATCCAGGATTGCACACAAGTTTGCTCAAATGAGAAAGGTTAATCTGCGCACTGAATTGGCTTATACTTTCAAAGCAGTATTTTAGGGCAGGATTCTCCTCCGGGAGACTGCTCCTGACCTCATTCAACCAATGTTCAATTTATTCACCTTCCTGAATCTTTGCCCTCTTTGGATAGTCTGTGACAAGTGCTGCGCTGCAGGAATTCCTGTTTTCCAGCAAACTGGCTTGCTCTGCAGGTTTGTAGTCCATTGTTACAATTGCTGATTGGGTAAAATGAATTTCCTACGTCTTCTCTAGCACAGCTTGCAACGCAACAGAAGCAGAGGTAAAAGAATGCACTAGTATACCAGAGCTCCACTTAAACACCAACGGAGTCAGGCTGTTGGCACCAATAAAAAATTCTGTATTTAACAAATCTGCAGGTATGTAAAATCCAAAGTCAGTCAGTTTTATAAATAAACTCACCCAGTTAGTCTGACTGCCATCCCAACTGGCCTTCTGTTTTCATGGAGTCTGGGAAAAAAAAAAAGTAATTGTCTGAAGTTATACAAACAGACATAAATTTGTAGGAATGAGTATCAGCCATCCTACACATGCACCAATTACTGCACTCACACTAAAACTAGGGTTTCTCACTTTGCTCTTTCTGCATAAAGCAAAGTTACTCCTCTTCATTGGCACCTTAGAAAGCTAGCTTCAAACACCACACTGTTTTGCATGACTTTGTTTTTACTGGTTAACCTTCCTGGAACTGCAGAACTAGAGACACAGGCACTACATCAAGCTGAAAGTTAAGGAGCTTTCAACTGAAAGGAGAAATTAAATCCAGTCAGGCTGCCTAATGCTATCCTTTGAAATTATGAAAACAAAATGAGTTCCATCAAACAATCTGGAAGAAAAGGTCTTTGTAAAACACCTCCTCTTCCTCTTGAGAGCATGAATGTGGAAAGGCTTAGATTCTGGCCTGGGCCATAAATCCGTAAAAGGCTATTCTCTCCCATTTTAATTCTCTGATTTTTTTTCCCAAATGTGAACTCATGCCTTATTTCTCTAAGGTAGTTTTAAACAGCGTAATAAGGGCTTGCAAGGAGCTGGGGAGGTACAGGGGAAGCCCACAGGTCACCTCCAAGAGTAACATTTCCTTGCTGCTGCCTTACCAATAATAAACTAGGCCTCATCTATGTTTAACAGTTGCTCAAACCATTATTTCAGTTTTTAAACAGTTGTGACTACTACAAATTAAAAACTGCCTTAATAATAGGAAGGTGGTTAAACCCATGCTGAACAACTCAACAACTTTAACTTTTGCTTTTCATTGTGCTGCTAAAGCATTACTGTTTTACAAACATTAAACTTCTGGTATTTTGAGTTATTTAGTTAAAACAAACACGTTGAATTTGTCTTTGCACAATTTCTGAGGAAAACAAAACAAAAAAAAAAAAATCGATGCCACTGCCAAGAATTAACGAAGAAGTTTCCACAAAACCAAAGAGGATCGAGACCTCTGGTGCCTTAGCAGACAACAGCACAAAGCTCTGCACTGACAGACCGACTGCTGTGGAAGAAGTTACAAGCCTGGTTAACATGACAAGCTGAAGATCCAGTCTCAGGTGAGAGGAAAGCTACAAGCCATCACCCATCTTGTGCTCACAAAAGATCCATAGCAAAACAAGAACTGAGCTGTTGTTCTTGGGAACGGAGAAATCTAAACAGAGATATCAGAAAGTAAGTTGCATAAATCCAGAGCACCAACCACAGAAGGCCACAAGGCCTGCACTGGGACTGTTTATCTCTGTTACTGCCTCATGTTTGCTCCCTTGCTTTGTCGCAGGCTGGCCCAGAGAAGTCACTTTTGCTAAGTCAGGAATCCGTGCGACAAACATTTCCAGAGTCCCTGAAAAAGGGTTCTCCCTTTCCAGGTCAGGCTAACAGAGATGAACAATTTAGCCACTCCTCTGCACTGGCAATCCCCAGGGAGCAAAGCATCTCATGAGCAAGCAAAAACCTTTCAGGAATGTGCAGGTTCTTCCTACAGTCCTAAAAATACTGTTTAGAAATAAATATAGCCAGTATAACAGAATCTCCCTATTGTCATTCAGTTGGCATGAAACTCAGCGCTCGGAATTTTCTATGCTAGGGATTTCAGACACTATAGTCACCAGTTTGAGAGAAGCAGCACAACCCCTACATATAGGCAGGCAACCTTTCACAGCCACAGAGCTCACTGTCATAGCCCAGGGCAGAGAGAGGGTGGATCTGCCCATGTACGTCATGTTATCCTAACTCAGTGACACCGGATGCCTACACTGAAAGCAGAACCTTAACGTACACAAAATCTTCCCTACTTTCTCTAATCACACCCACCATTTTTCCCCATAAAACCAGGCCAGAACATGTGAACTAAATATGCAAATCTCAGCTGTGGCCATTCACGTTTAAGTTCATCTTTATTCATATCAATATTTCTGGCCTCCCACACAGCCTGCAACTGCCACATGCTCCTGTAGTTAACAGGAGGGTCTGTACTCTTTGCCTTACACACAGATAATTCTATTGCTGAGAAAGCAAATTCTTTTAAGACAACTCAGAGGAAAAAACAAAACAAAGCACCTTTCTTCTAAGGCCTTAAGGAAAATGCCGTTATATACCAGGGGAGGGAATCTGCAAGGTTCCCAGTTCCTGGTGGCGAGAGAAATAAATGCGGCAATTATTTTGCTGAGAGCATGCTTTTTTCCTCCAGCAATGCCCACACCTCCCACGGTGGCCAGCTGGACACCCGTGCAGCCACATGCCTTGCCAGCTGACACCATGACCCACCATAACTAAGTACCAAAGTCAGCATGAGCTTAGGTCAGTGCCATAACAAGGGACCTGCTGACCAACTCGAGGGTGCCTCAACTGTCCCCGTCTCCTCTTCCCCTTCGAGGGGGCACGGTGCCCAGCCAGGGCAGTGGGGAAACACGCGGCCGCCAGCCTGTCACACCTGGCTTTTCTCCTCCTGCTTGGGGCTCTGTGAGGGTGCAGGTGCTGGTGGTGGTGGTGTCGGCGAGGCCTGCGTCTCGACCTCAGCACGCGGCTTTCTGGGGATGAGCGACTTGAGGGGTGCCATCCACTTCATCCACAGGTCGAGGTCGACATCACCCCAGGGCAGGTTGGGGTCCTTGGCTGCCCGCCGCCTAAAGTCCTCGTCGTAGTTCATCCACGAGGTGCCCCCGTAGGTGGCATGCAGCTTCCGGATGGTGTCCAGGTACTTGAACATGGCCCCGCAGCGCGCAGGGTGCTTCTCGCACAGCACGCTGGCGTACACCAAGAAGGCCGAGACCCACTGGTCCAGCGTGTCCCCCGGGCGCGGGCCGTACTCGGGGGCCAGCTCTGTGTGGAGCAAGGAAAAGAGGTCAATGAACTCCCCCCGCCAGATCCGCTCCTTGGTGGCCTTGGCCAGCTTGTAGCCCAGCGGCCGCCGCAGCCCTACGTAGGGGGTGGCCGCCGGCTCCGCCGCTGCCGCCGCCGCCGCCTCGCCCTGCCCCGCCGACGCGGCCGCCGCCGCCGGGCCCCCAGACGCGCCGCTCGCCGCCGCCGCCGCTGCCGCCGCCTCGGAACAGGGGCTGGCAGCGGCCGCAGCTGCACCGAGCGCGGCCTGCCGCTCCAGCCAGCGCGGGTTCACGTAGACGGTCCGCAGGCGCGGCGCGGCCCCCGCCGCCGCCCGCGCCGAGCCTTCGGCGCCGGGCTGTAGGCGCAGCACAGCCAGGGCGGCCGGCGCGCCGGCGGGCAGGTCGCTGCCGTCCCTCCGCGGGGCCGGCTGGGCCGCCGCCGGCACCTGGAGCAGCGAGGGCGCCGCCCAGGGCGGGGAGCCGCCCCTAGGCCCGGCCGCCGCCGCCAGCGCCTCTAGGCCCGGGAGGCCGAGTCGCGAGCCGGGCGCCACCGCGCCGAGCACCCATCGGGTCTCGGCGATCCCGGCGCGGTCCCGGGGGCTCCGCGACCTCCCCTCCTCCCGGCGCCCGGCGAGGGCCGTTCCCAGCGTCAGGGGGGCCGCAATCCCGGCCCGGCGCCGACGGCGACTCCGCCGCTTCCCACGTGGCATCGGCTCGGCGGCTCCGAGCAGGGCGTGCGGCAGGGGGCGGGGGGTACGGCCGGGGGGGCGGGTCCGGGACGGGAGGGGCGGGGCCTTACTACCCGGGCTTCACACCCCTTTCGTCCCGCGGCTCTGCCCCCGCCGGCACCGGGACCGGGACCGGGACCGGGACCGGGACCGGGACCGGGACCGGGACCGGGACCGGGACCGGGCCTGGGCCTGGGCCTGCTGCTGTGCTGTGCTGTGCTGTGCTGTGCTGTGCTGTGCGTGCGCACCTCGGCGGGCCGCCTGCGGTGAGACACGGAGTTAAACGGCCCCCGCGGTGTCGCACGGGTTCGTGCTATACGGCGTTTAAACGTGCTGGGCTTCGAGCATATGGCGTATCTACTGTTTATTATATATATATAAAAAAAACCCATATCTGACTATATAGTGTATGTACTATATGTATAGACTGATATTATACATATACGTATAAACACATAGACATACATATACAATACATACTATGCACATATACATACTATATATATACACTATACATATACACTGTATAAAACTATAGAGTTACATATAGAATATTGTGTATGTATACACACTTGCTATATATCTACATATACATGCTACTGTACGGTAGGCATGCAGTAGCAGTCACTTGCCATTATTATTGCTCCAATAAAGCAAATGTTTGGAGTAGTAGTGACATTCCATCACTCTTCAGTACAAATAAGCATCTTTTTATCCTTTTCGCTTTATAGAAAATGTTTTTGTTGTTGGTTTGGTTTTTAAGGGTGCTGTTGCCAATCCAGCTGTCCTAGCTGAGCACTATAGCCAATCTGAGCAAACACTTGCCAGGACTTCTCAGCGTGTCTCAGCAACTGACCGGCAGGTCCCATGCCAGGTAAAAAACAGCAGAACGTAAGGACGTGGACCTACTGCAGAAGGGCCACAAAGATGCTCAGAGGAATGGAGAGCTGGGTTGTTATCTTGTCTTCCTCATTCTCGTCTCTCATCTTCCTGTGAAGACAGGCCGAGAGGTTGGGTTGTTCAGCCTGGAGAAGAAAAGGTCCCAGGGATACCTTATAGCAGCCTTTCAATACCTAAAGGGGCCTACAAGAAAGCTGGAGAGGAATTTTTTAAAAGGGCATGTAGTGACAGGACAAGTGGGAATGGCTTTCAGCTGAAATAGGAGAGATTTAGATTAGACATAAAGAAGAAATTCTTCACTATGGGAGTGGTGAGACACTGATTGCCCAGAGAGGCACAGGAAGAGCGAATCTGTGGCTGCCTTATCCTTGCAGTGTCCAAGGCTGAGTTGGAAGGAGCTTTGTGCAACCTGGTCTAGTGTAAGGTGTCCCTGCCCGTGGCAAGGGGGGTTGGAATTAAATGATCTTTAAGGTCCCTTCCAGCCCAAACCATGCTATCATTCAGTAATTCCATGTCTTTATAGGAGATGCAGCCCTGTAGGCAATTTTATTCCTTGTCACTACACCATTACACTGGTTAATAAGGTGAAAGAGTATTTTTTTTTGTTTTCTTTTTAATGCTTAATAAACTCTAAAGAAGTAATGAGAGTAGCAAAATGCTCCTATTTTCTAATTCACCCTTATTTTCAGAGATTTGTTTAGAAGTCTATCCACTTTCTCAGTAAACCCCTTGAAGATACTGAAAGGCTGCTATTAGGTTACCCTTCCCAAGGCTGAACAAGTCTAGCTTTTCCTTGCAGGGCAAATGTTCCAGCTCCCAACTGCCTTGGTGGCTCTCCAAGGGCCTTACTTAAGCTTATAAAAGTCCTCCTTAATTGGGGGCACCCAAACTACCTACAGTGTTCCAGATAAGGTCTGTTGAATGCTATGTAACAGCAGATAATCACTTCTCTTGGTCTACTGACTATGCCTTTGTTGATGCAGCCCAGGATGCTGTTAGCCCTCATCCCTGCCAGGGCTCCCTGATGGATTATGTTTGGTCTATTGTCCACCAAGGCACCTGGGGTCCTTCCCATCAGAGCTGCTCCCTAGCCTGTCAGTCCCTAGCCCATGTAAATGCTGGGGATTAGTCCTCACCAAGTGCATTTGTCCTCTCTGACTATCGTAAGATCCCTGTCTTCCCATTCATCTGGCCTATCTAGGCCCCTCTGAATGGCAGCCATTTCCTGGAATATATTGACTGTATGCCATAATATGATGTTGTCCACAAACTGGACAAGAGTGAACTCTGTGTCTCCTCAAGGCTCTTGATATGCATATTAAACAGGACAGGTCTTAAGATAGGCTTCTGAAGAACTTCACTTGTAAACAGCTTACAGGTAGAGTATGAACCATTCATCATTATGATCAAATCTGTCTTTTATCTCTAATTGTCTCAACAAGGCAGCTGTGGGAGACCATGCCAAAAGTCTCCTGTCCACTGCTTTCCTATCATCCATGGATTAAGGCAGGTGAAGCACAGGGGATTCTTATATATTCCTGACCTGTATGCTAAGACTGAAAATATTTCAGAATAAACCCAATGACTGGAAAATCATAACTGTCAAATACGCTCAGCCTTCAAAATATTTCTGAATTCTTATTGTATTATAGATCCATATCACTCTTGCTCCCTTTCAGAAATAGAGACTTGAAACTTTGAGGAGGGATCTTTAACGTTGCAGTAAATTGGCTGACTTCTGCACAAGGTGGTGACAGGTAGTCAGACAGAGGAAAGAATAAACATCCTCATCAGGCTGAAACTTTCACTGTAAACAAATATGATAATGGAAACTGTTAGGAAAACCCTTCTAGCTTCAGAAGTCAGCACATCCACTGCCTATATTGCTACTCACAGCTCCAGGAAGGACTGCCTAATTCCTTGATTGATATTGCAGTCTTACAGGCAGCAGTAACACAAACAGCTTTGCTTTGGAAGAGAAGGGCTGATGACTAGTATTGGGTCACTATCCCTCTGCATGTATGGCTGCATAGGTCTTGTGGCTGAAGGTTTGGGGAGTAGGACTTTCCTTTTGTTCTGTGCTTGTGCAGCGCTCACCAGAGCCGCAGAGTCTAGCTGCCTGGGTGGTGTTGTCAGGTCTCTCAATAACGCAGTTCACAGTGATAATAAACAGCAATTTAAAAAATAATCAGTAAGCACTTACATTGGTATTGCCCCAAAGATACAGACAGCAGCTAAGACAGGTAGTAAAGTTGTCTACGTGAAGCATCTCTATACATATGCTGTATTTACTCACTGAATTTGAGCTGTGATTCTCCAGTTCTCTGTCTCATGAAAACTATACTCCAATTTTTTATGAGGGCTTTCATGGAGACAACAAGCTGTGCCATAGTAATACCTGGGTGAAGCAGGTGAAAATAAGAATGCTTTGCTCCCACTTCATTTAAGTAGCTACTCCTAAGCTGACAAGTGGGCTGTTCACCTTACTGAGAATGTCAGGAACTGTTTCCAGCAGATTTTGGAGGCAGGCGTGACCATCCTCTCTGTTCTTCATGGGATGAGCTCCTCACAGCTCTGAATTTGCCCCTCTGCCTTATTCTTCATGTTTTTCTCTGCCTTTATTTTCCCATGATTTATTTGTAGAGGATAAAAAAGGTGTATACTTGGAGACACACATCTGTATAGCTGTATTGCAGACATGTGTCTCTTAACCAAATTGCTTGCATGGGCACAGAACTGCAGAAGCAGACTCAGATCATTGTTTTATGCTTTAGAACTTCTTTCAAGTCTCAAGCATGAGATGTTATTGAAGGCATTAATGAGGAAGCAAAATGAAGCTTTAAACAGAAACAGCTGCAACTCTAGATGTGGAGGAACTAGTAGTCTTTGGAATTAGGCAATAGAACAGCTTATTACAATAAGGAGGAAAAGCTCCTTTTCAGGAAAAAAAAAAAAATCCCATATGGAAACAAGATCAGAACACCTCCCTTTGAAAGCAGACAGGCCAGTGCGCTGGTTCTCTTCATGAACCTTAAATAATGCCACAAGGGAGAGAACTCCCTCTTGATGATGTCTACTCCCTCTATTGATGAAACTAGAAAATGCTGCCAGACAGCACTTAACCTGCATGGGCTCCAAGAACACCTGGGAGGACACACAACCCTTGCACTAGGGTTTGAGGAGAAAATGCAGCATGGGAATTAAGAAAAACAACCCCTGTGTTGTGCTTGGGTATGTTTTTCAAAATAGTCTGTCTTTTTCTATGGAATTTTAAGAGTTGTCTGTGATACTTTTGGGGAGACCGTGGAGCTTGTGGCTTCTCAGATCAAAAGAAGGATGCTTAGGCCCCATGGAATCAGTAATCTTAACAGTGGTTTTGTCTGAAACAGGTGAGATTCAAGACTTGCATTGGAGCTATTAGGTGGTCTGTCCTTAAATGTCTTCCATTCCCTCCATAAGTAAAATAATAGGTCTTGAAGCAGAACAGGGTTTGGGTGTGTTTTGCCTTTCATCTCAAAAAATTTAATGGCTGTAGCCTTCACTGACAAATAAGAAACAGATTTGAACTGCAGACAACAGCTGCAGCTTAATAAAGCTGAAACACTAAGTATGGTGTGGGTCTTCCGCAAAGAACCTGACAACCATTGCCATTGAACTGCTTCCAGTGAGGAGAGAATCTAAAGATCCCCACCAGGAGAGGAGGGCAGGAGTCGGATCCTGTGGCTGAGGGTCTTTTTCCTCCAGCCCAGGTAGGGACTGAGCTGGCTTGCTGGCCGCCAGCCTTCATGGCGCTGTGCAGTATTCTTCCTCTTCACGTGTTCCACTCCTGTATTTCTGTACAGTTTGGGCTTTCTCAAGCTTGTTCCTTTCTCCTGCTAAAGGTTTCTATGCCTATGCTTGAAGAGAGCAGAGAAAGTCTCTGCACAGGACCAAGCAAGTTTATTTGTCCCGAGGAGCCTTAGCTTCACTGGTCCCTCTCCTTTTGTTCTGCTGCTGTGAGGTTCCCACCTGAAGAGTTAGAGATCTTGGGTGATCCACGCTACCTGTGGGACTTATGTCCACGTGGACTCATGACCTCTGAGCGGGGTCCCTCTGCGCGGACTGTCACACAGGAGTAGCAGAGCAAAGTAAATGTCCGTTGTGGTTAAATATGTAAGTCCATCTTCTCAAATTAGCAAAGGATGAAAACACAGACTTGGGCCAGAACATAACTGCTGGTTGAGCTCCGCTGAAGACCCAGTCCCGGTAGCCCTGCAGACGTGTGTACTGCACGCTCTGAGCATCCTGCCTATAGCTGTAAGTTTTTCTTAAAGGCAACAGCTCACCCCGACACGAACGGGAGAATATGAGTGTCCCACCTAGGACCGGCAGCCCCGGAGCAACGGTGAAGCGGCGCTGGACTTGGCATACTTAGGCGAGGGCGTCCCCCCGGCTGTGCCTCCGGAGCGATTGCGCCGAAAAGCAGCTTGCTCCCTCCCCGAAACGCACCCGCACGGTGCCAGTGTGGCCGCAGCGCCCCGTCGGGGTCGCGCGGGGCAGCGCCCGGCAGCCGCGGCTCCGGTGCTCGCCAAGCCTGGTGGGGCTGCCCTCCGCGCCCCGACGTGGGCCACACGGGGACTAGGTCTCCAGCCCTCGGAGGGAAGCAGGCGGGCCCTGCCACCCCAGATCCGACGGGGCGGGGGCGCGGCAAACGGCTTCTGTGCGCAACGCGGCCGGGGGGGGGAGTGACTCTGGCAGCCTGCGGCGCTGCAGCCTCCTTCCCTCCCCTTTTCTCTCGTAACTTTTTTTTTTTTTTCTTTTTCCTTTTCTCTTTCCCTCCCTCTCCCTCCCAACAAAGTGACCGCGGCGGCGGCAGCAGCTCCGGAGCAGCCTGAGTACCGGACGCCGACATGAGCCCCTTGGTGCCGCCGTCGGGCCGCGCTGCTGCGGGCTGAGCCCGGGCGCGGGAGACGCCCCGGAGGAGCACCGCTCCCAGAGGCAGGGGCACCGAGAGCCCAGGACCCCCAGTCACCCCCGGGGTGCCCGGGACAGCGGCCGCCGCGATGTCGGCGCAGAGCCTGCTGAGCAGCGTCTTCTCCTGCTCCTCCCCGGCCGCCGCCGCCCCCGCCGCCGCCAAGAGCCTCTCCAAGCGGAGGCTCCGCCAGACGCGCAGCCTCGACCCCGCCATCATCGGCGGCGGACGGGAGGACAGCGAGGGCGCGGGCCGGGCGCCGCGGCCGCGAGCAGCCGGCAGCCCCCTGGGGGACCGTCGCAGCCCCCGGGGCCCGCCGCCTGCCCCCGGCGCCTCCTTCTCCACCCCCAGCACCCCACTGGAGCGGTCGCCACCGGGCAGCGTCCTCTTCGACGAAGAGAGCCCCCGAGGGAAGCGGAGTCCCGGCTGCGAGCTGCCCTTTCTGGCGCGCACCCCGTCGGCCTCAGCGCTGATCGGACCTGCCAACAGCATCTTCTCGTCGCCCCGGCGCTGGCTGCAGCAGAGGAAGGGGCAGCCCTCGCCGCCCGGACCTCGCCCCACCGCCTACGTCGTGTGGAAATCCGAGGTAAGCCCGCCCCCCCTCCCCGGGGCGGGAACCAGCCGCGCCACCTTCGCCCGAGCTCCCGCCGGGCGCTCCGTCGGGGCGGCCCTGCCGAGCACGGGGGCCGACGGTCTCCAGGACGGGGCGGCCCCACGGGTTTCCCACCTGCGCCTTTCCCCCAGGGGTGGTGAGTGTACGCGGGAGGAAAGGGCACAGCCCGGGCTGCGGCGGCCGTATTGTGGAGGCCGCCATGGGAAACTGAGCTTCACAATGTTGGTGGGGCGGTGGCAGCATTTGATGTTCTCTCGACGGGCTTCATCTGAAGTTGTCCCCGGTGTGTAAAACCTTCCCCTGCCAGTTTCACACCTCGTAAAGAGAAGTATGCGATGGCTTCTAACAAGATATACAAATTATTTTTAATGTGCACACACAGTGAGCTGTGATTTATTTGACAATGCACATGTGTCAAAACCACATGAGGAGCGATCGTATTCCAAGACAAATCCAACTTTGCAACACAGATATTTATTCGTTTAGCTTGGATGTCGTCGATGTTGGGCTGCAGATACTGTACAATGTGGACAAATATATTCAAAGAATGCGGCATTATTTCTTGATAGCTGTTGCTTGGCAAGTTGGTCACGCACTGCCTTTTGTAGTGGGAGGAGAAGAAATTTTTTGTTTGATGAAATTCTGCATCCAGTTTGTGGCGATGAGGTTTCCCACTTAACTGTTTAGTACTGCCTGATGGAGCTTTTTGGTTGGGGTCGCAGGCAGCCTTTTCCTTTTTATTTCCATTTCCATTTCAGATTTATTAATTATAAATAGCCAGTATTAACTAGATCAATCAACAAAACAGCCCCATTGTTGCAGCGGGATGCAGAAGTGATGAAGAAGGGTGAAAAATTGTTGCCTTACACAGTGATCTGGGATCTGACACTCAGCTATAGGCGGCACATGATCACCAAAAGCAGTCTATGAGGGTAAAGGCTGCCCTGACCCCAAACAAATCCCTGCATCCTCCTGGTAGCTTGGGGTATAAAAGTGGTCACCCTTTTCCACTTGGATTGGAGTGGCAGTGCTTGGGCAATGACTTCAGGCGTGATGCTGCATGGTGTTGAAAGAGGCAGTGAAGATTTTTAGCCCTTTTCAAAACTGGATTAATATTAAGTCTCATGGCCAGAAGTTACCCTTAGCAGTGTTTCAACTCGATGCTTGAATTATAAGATAGTTAAAAAGTCATGATTTCAAAGGGCTTTGTGGATTTTGCCATGTCAATGACGAAACACCTCTGCTGAGACAGTGGGTAATGACCTTTAGATGCTCACACTAATTAAGGGTAAGTTGCCTGATCATCCTCTTATAGTTTGATAAGGAGCATCAAGAAGTGTAAGATATGCAAGATTTCCCATGCAGAATTCCCTGACTAAGCCCAAGACTCAGAGGTTGATCTCCAGTCCACAGACGTAAGAGGATCTCCCTGTTTTCACTGAATCCACACGAAGGTGTTGAACACTTGTGGTATTATTTTCAGATCTCTGTGTTGTCAGACTGTGCGGTGTGACACATCTTCAGGCTGCAAATTCAAAAGTACAATTTGTTTTCCTAATTTGGCATGTATCTAGTGTTTTTAAATAGTGAAACTTGTATTTTTTGTGGGGGACGTATTGTATTACTAATGACACAATTGCAGTATAGCAATGTAATTTATAGTTAAATTTGATTCAGTGCAGTTTCATGTGATGTTACAGAGCTGTTCTTTGACAATTTGTCATTTTCTCGACAGTTGAGCCTGGGTAAGAATCTTTCACACGTTTCAGAAATGGGTGTTTCCACTAACAAAGTATGGTCTTATATTTTGGAGTCATCTTTTCTATTAATGAGGCCTGATGTTTATTGTTACCGAGACATATGTGTGAGTATAGTTTAAAAAAAATAATCACCTTTACATTAGAAAGAAAACCTCTCCATGTGATTCTAAGAGATCAGTTCTGGGTCTGAGTCTGGACCTGAGAACAGGTCTGAGTCCAGTGCTGTCAGGACAAGTGACTACCCACATCTCTGTGCTACATCCCCATGCCCGGGCTGGGTTGCATGTCAGCTGCCATATAACCGGATATCTGCTGGTTTCAGCATTGCTATTTTCAAGGCATTATACAAATATTAACTTAGTTATAACAATCAGCAATGACATGTATGAATTATTTTAATCTATATTTTGAAAGAAATTGCACATGCATTATTGTTATAATATTCCCCTCCTTATTGCAGGCATGCATCCTAATGATCATTAATTTTGGTTTTATTGCAAAAGTAGCATTTCTCATAAAGGATTTAGATGTTTGCTTCCTATTTAGTCTTTATTGGACAATGACTTGTTCAGGTTTTAGGACATGAAGGATTCTCTGTCTCTGGGGCTTCACGTTAGCTGTGGCAAAGCAAGTGTGCTGGAGGAGGTGAAAAAAAGCATTTTCCTGGGTGAACAGAAAGCAACTCTAATATTGTAACTTTAAAAGGTCCCATTATACAAATCATTGCATTCTCAATAGGAAATCCATAGTTTCATTTTTTTCAGCTTTGAAAATGAAATACGTTGTGGTGATGATTTTACTCAGCTGTAAAAGACAGCTGAGTAGATGACTGCAAGCATGGAAGTTTTGGTTTGAGGACTTACAAATTCCCATCCTATTAGCTGGGTAATAAAAGAAGCATTTGTTGCAAAAACTGTTTTCCTTATGTTCATTCTAACACCTTTACTAAAAAACCTGTAGTTTTTGGAAAATATTTCTCTAAAGCCACTGTGCAAAAAAAAGGGTTAGGCACTGAAAATAATATTTTAGGAGATATATGTGGGCATTGTTTTATTCCCCATACTTTAATCTCTAAAGCAGTAAAGAGATGTAAAAATGCCATGGAGATTTTCTCTTCAGAAGCCCCCAGAATAGTAACTTGAGAGCAGGACCTCCTTCACCTGTCACAAGCTGGATCTGCCTGGTGATGTGTATTGGGACACGGTGAAGATGCTGTTTGCAGTATGAACTGGGCAAATCCCACCTGTGGGCAACCTGGCACTACAGGACTGTGGGGCAGGAGCTCCTAGCCCAGCTGTGTCCATGTTTTAAAGTGTGTGCTGAGCACTCCCCTACTAGCTGATCTGTGATTTCTGTGTATGAGGCCAAAATAGCTTTGATATTAGGTCAGGAGGAGGATGGATGGAAAGGTTTCAGCTCAGTTCACACAGCCATTCGTAAACAATTTTTAATGGAACACCAGAGTGCACAGGGTATTTCCAGTTTCAACAGCGGTTCACGCCTAAAGGCTTTACACAAAGAAAGGCGTTAGACCTATATTCTTGGATCCACAGGTATTTTAATACAGAGCATCATGTGATAGATGTGTCTCCCGCTCCCAGGTGATCTGTCTGTTCTTTGTTGACATGCAGCTTTATTCACAAGGATATTTTACGACTGTAAAGATTATTTTTAGTAGAGCCTTGCTGTGCTGACAAACATATTTTCCCATTCTATTATCTGCTCATGTATAAGCCGCTTAAGTAAAAAAAAAAATTTGGGGTCTGTTGAAATCAGTGCCAACATTTCCACTAGTCTCAGTGGGGAAGAGTCAAGGGGGATTTGTAACAAGGGGAAAAAGCATTCATCCTCAATTCCCATGAGGTCTCAGCTCTCCCTTTAAGCCATTTTCTTTAAAGAAAATGAACATTCACTTCGAAAATTAAGTCTGTTATGACTATTATGCTTTCATTGAGAGTTTAATAAGGTTCTCTAAGTAAACTACAAATCATGGGAAAAGGTGGTAAAAATGTGTAGAGATACCTTAATGCCTTGATTCTGCCAACATTTAGTCATACATTTATGCTTAAGTATGTGGGTGGTCCCATACAAGTTAAAGGTGCAAGTGTTCTATGATGACTGACTGGAATACTTTTGCCAGATGAAAAGTCCAAAATAGCTCAAAATGAATAGGTTGGTGTGAAGTCTTGAGTTGTGTGAATTCTTCTGCTTACTTTTTTTGTCGTAAAGAGGACAGTGGAAGGCCACAGCATGTGTATAACAAATACAGCAAATCATGTAAATGTATGCGAGTAATCTCTTTATTATGATAAACCAAATGTACGCACTTAAACTTATATGGCCTGATTATTTTGTTATCATACTCCGTGTGTTACTGACTAATTAAACATTAGCATCTCCAGCTAATATGCTCTTTTGGGGGAGAGCTGTCTTTTAAAGTAATGGTGGTGTAACACCTGCAGCCTGCAGCCACTGGGAAGCAGGAGGCAGCATCATTACTTTTCCACTTGCTCCTTGTTGCTGTTGGGTTGCTGCAGCAGGTTGGTTCAGCCCTTCCTCACTTCCTCCTCCTGGCACAGCCTGCAGTTGACCTGCTTGCTTGCTCAAGGAGGCTTTCTTTTGAGCACATGGGGTGAGGGGTTTCCCATGGTGCGAGAGGGAAGGTTGCCCTGGTTCCTCACCAGGTCTTGGGGGAGAAGCCAGGAGTTGTATTGGTGTCTCCAGAGCTGTTGGCTGGCCAAGATGTGGCTAGCAGCAAGGATGTTGGAGATGCTCGTCTGCAATATCAGAACAACATTAGTTAGGCTAAATTATTTTATAACTTCTGATTGAGTCATATGGAGTGATCATTTAGGGCATGGCTGTCGAAAGTATGAGCACTCACAACACCAGTTTCAACTGATAAGTGCCTCGAGAGGTCAGCTTCCATAAATTTTTGCTTGATACTTCAACTGGGACGGCAGTCTCAGCTTCCCTCTTTCCATATCTCTTTGCTTGCCAACGTTTCCTCTTAAGCATCACTGTTTTTTTGCAAATTAATTTTAACTATAATTTTCCAAGTTGCTGTGAATGGCTAGCTTACTTCTTTCTGCTTTTTTAAGCCAGTGCTTGCTTCAAAACCATGCTGATGGAGGGATATGCATGAAAAATGCTTTCAGAGGTAAAGGGTAAAACAAAATCCTTAAAAATTGGGCAAACTAAGTGTTCACATTC